GAGTATTTTCAACTTAAGCAAAGATTTAAGGGAAACACAAAGCTTCTTAGTTTCAGAGAAAGTCATGTGCTGTATGCATGCAACATTCAAGCATCATCCCATGAACACACAAAACTGAATGCCATTTAACCTCCCTCTTCAAGTTACACAGCTGTGAGAACTTCATTCTTGATTATTTACAGGGAACTTTTGTGACTGGCTTCTCCCTTTATTTTTTATTTTTTTTACAAATACCTCTTTGGTGCCTTAGGAAATAACTTCAAAGATAAAGTAACAGAAGAGGGCTTGTAAGGGAGTTAGATTAAAACCTAAACTATATTTGCATACTGTTTATACTTTGATTCATTCCCTGCAGTGATTCTTCTGTCTCTGACCAGTCCACTGACCTACTATGGAAAGTATCACACAGCCCACAAGTTTCTGTCAGCCATGTTGTCTCAGGGCTCCTCCCTCCCAACTTGTCTCCCAGCCTCCAGTCTCTCCCCATTCCATTCCCACCTAAATATTACTGTTCATTAATCTTTCTGAAGTCTTGCTTTTGTGCTGGGAAACCTTCCACAGCTCCCCAGGCTCACAGGATAAGGTCTGAGTTCCCTAACGCTGCCTTCATCTCTGTGTGCCCCACCTGTTTGGGTTCCAACTGTGGGCAGCTGGGAGCCATCTCCAGACAGTCATGGGGCTGAGCCCAGCTGCTGTTGTGCAGGCTGGGCTGTGTATGTTTTATCTTTCCCTACCCCAGCACAACATGTGGAATGGCCTGGGTCTAGAAAAACAGTGTTAGGACTGTATTTGTTGCAAAGAGATAAAAATTTACCCCTTAAGCTTTATTTAGAAAGCCGAGTAAGGCTTTTAATCAGCTACTATAAAGAAATTTCAGTGACTTATGTGAATGTGGAGATTTAGGTGTCATAATAACTTAAAGATTTTAGGCTGCACGTGTCATTTATTTGTCAAATACAGAGCATGACATGCCTGGGTTGCTTTCTGAAAAGGATCACATTTATTCATTTATCCAAACATTCATTGAGTATCTCTTGAGCACCCCTTACACGTCAGGCTCTGTGCTAGGCATCGGCGGTATACTGTTGAAGCAGAGAGATATTGTCTCTAACCTTACAGAGCTAACACATTAGCTGAATGAGTCATTACGAGAGTTAACAGAGCTACAGAAGGAAGGTAAAGAGGGAGCTGTGGTGGACAACACTGCCCTGCTCACATCCCCTCAGCTCTCACCAGGCAAGCTGAAGGCTTCTTTCTGCAAGAGACTCTTGGGCTGAGTGAAGACTTCTCTGGCCCACAGCCGGCAGGAGCATGCCCAGCCCTCGCATGGTGCAGGCCAACAGTGCCAGGCAGTCAATGTCCTCAGGAACAGTCCTCAACCAATGGAGAGGGAGAATGGAGACTTACCCACCCAGCTTCCTCACCTTGTGGGTGGGACAGCTCTGGGGGTGTTCTACGCCGTCTTAGCCCGGGCTGCCATAACAAAATGCCATCCACTGAGTGGCTTAAACAACAGAAGTGTATTTTCTCACAGTTCCAGAGGCTGGATGGCTGAGATCAGGAGGCCAGGATGGGTGGTTTCTGGTGAAGCCTCTCCTCCTGGCTTGTGGGCAGCTACCATAGCACTGTGTGCTCACATGACCTCTTCTATATGTGCTCTCTCAGAAAGAGAAAGAAAGAATTCAGGGAGCTCCCTGGTGTCACTTCCTATAAATACACGAATCCTACTGTATTGAGGCCCCACCTTTACAATCTCATTTTAGGTCCTCCTTAATTTTTAATTATCTCCTTATTTCCCTATCTCCAAGTCATATTGAGGGTTAGGCTTCAACATATGAAACACAATTCAGGCTATGGCATATACTGTCTCCCAGGGTCCCCCAGTGAGACTGAGCCCATGACCCATCTCCCAATAGCCTGTGCACTAAGGCACTCTGAATAGGCTTCTTTTTCTTCCCTCCTCATCCCTCCATCTTCCTACCACAGCTTCCTGAGACTACCTCCCAAATAAACCACTTGTACTCAAATCCCAATCTCAGGGAACTGCACCAATGACTGGAGCTCATACCAGGGACCTGACATGTGCCTGGTGGGTCTGGATATTAGAAAGCCTTACCAGCTGTGTCGGGAGTTCTTTCCTAAGGGCTCTGTGGGAAGCCACTTAAGGTCTTAAGCAAAGGAATGAATCTCGGACAGAATGTGGAGGAAGGACTCAAAGAAGTAAAACGCTGATTCAGGGCAACTAACTGGGAAGCTATTTCTTCAGTCAAATCAGGAGAAGACTGTGATCAGTGCTAAGGAGGAGGCAGTGAAGACAGAGCCTGACATGGTGCCTGCCTCGCCCATAGTCACTGCGCAACAAGTATTTTTGGATGAAAATTAATGAGTGGGTTCTGTGTACCAAACCTCTAGATAGACTGACAGAACTTGAAGATTGATTACATCTGGGATTTGAGGAAAAAGAGAGAGTCAAGAACAAGTCCAGGTCTTCAGGCTTGAACAGCTAGGTGGACGCCAGTGCTATTTATTGAATACGGATCATAGCCTTGAGGATCAGCAAGTTGGAAGGGTGGGAGATAATGAGTTCTGGGTATGAGTGTGCCTGTGAGACATCTAATTGATGCTGAGTAGGCAGCTGAGTATACAGGTTTGAAGCTAGGTCAGAGATGCATATTTGGGTCCCACCAGATACAGATACTGAGTCCCGCAAGCCCTCTCCAGCCACATGGGAAATGTGACCAGAAGAGCTCCACATTTTTCTACTCTCTGGCATTCTCTCTAAAATAATATTTTAGAAGGAGGGCGCCTGGTTGGGTCAGTTGTTAAGCATCTGCCTTCGGCTCAGGTCATGATCCCAGGGTCCTGGGATCAAGCCCCGCATCGGGCTCCCTGCTCTGTGGGAAGCCTGCTTCTCCCTCTCCCACTCCCCCTGCTTGTGTTCCCTCTCTTGCTGTCTCTCTGTGTCAAATAAATAAATGAAATCTTTAAAAAATAATAATAATAATATTTTAGAAGGAGTATGAGGGAGAACTAGTATTTACCGAGAACCAACTATTTTCCAGGAATTGGACCAGGTGTTTATTCTTCACAACAGCTCCAAGAGGTATGCAATATTATCTCCATTTAAGATGAGGAAATTGAGGGGACGCCTGGGTGGCTCAGTCGGTTAAGCGTCTGCCTTCAGCTCAGGTCATGATCCCGGGGTCCTGGGATCGAGTCCCGCATCGGGCTCCCCACTCCGCGGGGAGCCTGCTTCTCCCTCTGCCTCTGCCTCTCTCTCTCTCTATCTCTCATGAATAAATAAATAAAATCTTTAAAAAAAAAATGAGGAAATTGAGGTACAGAAAGGAGAAGTCATGTATCCAAGTTCACAGCTGGTCAGCCGCTTCAGAGAAGCTCTGGACTGTCTTAGTCCAAATTTTTGTTAAAGAAAATAAGCATCAGCAAAGCACGGTCTGTATCCTGTGTGTCTTAGACTCCAGACTCCACAATGAGCAATTCCCACAGTCAGGTGCATTCACTAGGAGGGTCTTTCAATTTCAGAGTCCCAAGACTATTCTCTCTGCACATCCCTGTTCAGCTAATCTTCCCTCATTTGGACAACTCTCATTCCAAGTGGTCCCCCTGCTGGTGACCCTCTTCTGGTATAGTCCCAACTGAAGTCTTCTCTCAATTTCTGTCTCTGTAGATTTGCTTTTTTTGGACATATCATTTAAATGGGATCTTATAAGGTGGTCTGTTGCAATGGTTTTCTCAGCTAGTGTGATGAATAAAAGGTAAAATATTTAGTATTTCCTCAACACCCAAAACCTCATTGTTTTTATTTAAAAATATAGCACACCAAATATATATATAAAACACATGATCTTGGATTTGCTAATACTGATACACAGTCCTGAAAATGCCCTAATTATTTTTCCTTCTGCAAACAGGTATTTTTTTTTTGCAGATCTGCATTAAACTTATACATTTATTTGGAAAGATTAACATTGACATTATTCAATGTTATATATTTTCAATTCCAGGTACATAGTATTTCCTTTCTAATCCAGTCTGTTAAGTTGGAAGTTTCAAGAACTTTAAAAAAATTATTATTTAGGTTTTGAACATCTATTATCTGTATTAAACTCTTTACTGGTGTTATTTTTATATGGCACATTTCCCCACGGTCTATTCTAAATCATTATTTCTGATAGACAGAAAAGCTATTGAATTGTGTACAAAATTTTTGGAAAACAGTATTGAGGCTTTTCAAAAGATTAAAAAATAGGACTGCCATATGATCCAGCAATCCCATTTTGGAGTATTTATCCAAAAGAATGGAAATCAGGATCTCAAAGAGATATCTACACTCCCATGTTCACTGCAGCATTATTTACAATACCCAGAATATTGAAACAACCTAAATGTCCATTGATGGATGAATGGATAAAGAAAACATGGTATATTCATACGATGGAATATTATTTAGCTTTAGAAAAAGAAGAAAATCCTGTCATTTGAAACCATATGGATGATCCTGGAGCACATTATACTAAGTGAAATAAGTCAGTCATAGAAGGACAAATACTGCACGATTCCACTTATATGAGGTGTCTAAAATAGTCAAACTCATAGAAGCAGAGGGTAGATTGGTGGTTGCCTGCGGCTCAGGAGAGGGAGAATGAGGAGTTGCTATTCAACAGGTATAAAGTTTCAGTTACGTCAGATGCATAAATTGTAGAGATCTGCTGTTAAATACAGTGCCTACAGTTAACAACAATGTACACTTATTTTGTGAGAGAGTAGATCTCATGTTGTGTTCTTACCACAGTAAAAAAAAAAAAAAATTAACTGGAAAACAATTATACAAACAGTTCTTCAAAGATAGAAGTCAGAATCTATACTGCCTCATTCTCCAGATGTGAGGTAGTGTCACTCCCTATCTTCTAATTCTTTAATATGTTTGTTGGAGGCAGAGTTTCACAGACCACTTCCTGGTGTGGGAGTGGGCATCTCACCTGAGTCATAGAAAGTTCCAGAGATTGGACAAGCTGATAACTTGAGCCAGGGAGATGAGGTCATTCTTTTTGCCAACCATTGCAATCTTGCAAAAGGCAGAGGTGGTGACATGTTTCCTGGACCAGAAACTAAACCTATGTGAGAAGCCCTTAGGCAGAAGAAGATGGAAAGTGTGATCAGTGGAGTTCATTCTGGACCCTGTCCCCACCTTGACCTCTCCCAACCCCTCCATACTGTAGCCAGAGTGAACTTTTGTCATGAAAGATGATTCAGAGGACCCATCACGATCTGTCTCTGCTCACTTCTCTCTAGCCTACTGGCTACCTCCTGTCCTCTCTCTGGGACCCAATTCTCTAAGCATTAGTAAATTTCTTTCAGCTCCACAAGAAACTCATCATTTTCATTTTTACCTGTAGGCCTTTGTCCATGCCTATCTCTCTGTTCCAGCCCCTTTCACATCCAACCTTCCAAACTGACTAATGCCTGCTCATTGTCAAGTCGCAATTCAGACCTCAGTTCCTCTAGGAATTTTTCCCTGACCCTCAAGACTGGGTTAGGTTGGGGCACCTCGGTGGCTCAGTCTTTAAGCGTCTGCCTTCGGCTCAGGTCATGATCCCAGGGTCCTGGGATCAAGCCCCGCATCGGGCTCCCTGCTCTGTGGGAAGCCTGCTTCTCCCTCTCCCACTCCCCCTGCCTGTGTTCCCTCTCTTGCTGTGTTTCTCTCTGTCAAATAAATAAATAAAATCTTTAAAAAAAAAAAAAACTGGGTTAGGTTTTCCCCTTCCAGGGGTTTTTACTCCTATTCTATGGGTTATCCAACTGTGTTGTGATTGCCTATTAACTTGTCTGCTCCTCACTCCCCCTATACTGAAAGCCCCTTCAGACAGAGATAGAATCTGCCCAACATCTGACCTCATGAGATACCCCAAGTTAGAGCTTCCCAATCAACTTGCTCCCAAACTTCCTGATCCATAGACTCTGTGAGACAATAAGTGATTGTTGTTGTCTTGAATCACTAAATTTTGGAGTCATTTGTTATAGAGTAATGGATAACTAATACACTATCAAAACTTAGCAGCTTTAGACAACCATATCTCAGATTCTGCAGGATAGTAATTGGCAATCTCTTGGTCCTTGTGGCATCAACTGCGGCACAACTCAGCAATACTCAGCTGATGGGTGGGCTTGTTGGGCAGATCCAAGATAGCTTCACTCACAGGTCAGGCACTTTTTGGGCTAGAAGATAGGCTTAGTTGGAACAGATGACCATAGGGCCTACATTTGGCCTCTCCAGCATGGCTGTCTCAAAGCAGATGGACTTTTTACATGGCAGCTGGCTTCCCTCAGAAAAAGTATCCCAAAAGAACCCAGAAGAAGCTGCATGACTTTTTATGACCTAGCTTTGGAAATAATGTACAGTCATTTCTGCTATCTCTCTTGGTTGAAACAGTCATAAGACCACCTAGACTCAAGAAGAGGAAAGAGACCCCACCTCTTGATAGGAGGAGTATCAAAGAATTTGTAGCTATTTTTTTTTAAAAGTCGACTAATTATTAAGGTATAATTTGCATGCAATAAAATGCACCCATTTAAATATGTAATTTGGCAAGTTTTAACAAATGCCTATATCCTGCGACTACCACCACCATGAAGTTATAGAGCATTTCCTTCATCCCAAAGTTCCCTCCTGCCTACTTGCAGTCAGGCCCCTCACCTCTCCCTCTCAGCACTAGGCAAGTACTAACCTGCTTTCAGGCTCTTCTAGAATTTTATATGATACAGTATATAGTTTTTCACTTTTTCACTTAGCTAAACTCTTTTGAGACCTGCCCTGTTGTTTATTGCGTATATCAATAGTTCATCTCTTTTTTATTGCTAAGTAGTTGCTATTGTATGGCTATAAACTTTTTGTTTTAGCAGTTACCTGTTGATGGACATCTGGGTTGTTTCCAGGTTTAGATTATTATGATAAAGCTGCTATGAACAATCATTTTCATTTCTCTTGAACAAATACCTAGGAGTGGGGTTGCTGGGTTGGTCATATGAGAGATATGTGTTTAACTTTATAAGACCACCCAATTGTTTTCCAAAATGGTTGTGCCATCTTACTTTTCCAGCAATAATATATGAAAGTCCTAGCTGCTCCCCATCCTTGCTAACACACGGTATTGTCAGTCTTTTTAAGTTTAGCCACTCTAATGGGTGTGTAGTGGTATCTCATTAGGGATTTAATTTGCATTTCCCAGAGGACTAATGGTGTTGAGCGTGTTTTCATGTATTAATTGGCCACTGATATGTCTTCTTTTGTGGAGTGTCTGTTCAAATCTTTGGGCATTTGTAATTGGTTGTTTTATTCTCTCATGATTGAGCTTTAGTTGTTTATAAATTATGGATACCAGCCTTTGGTCAGGTATATGTATTGAAATATTTTCCTCCAGACCGTGGCTTGCCTTTTCATCTTCTTAAAACTAATGAAAGAGCAGAAGCTTTTAATTTTTATGAAGTTCAATTTATTATTTTCTTTTTTTAAATTCCTATTAAGAAAACCTATAAACTGGGGCACCTGGGTGGCTCAGTTGGTTAAGCAACTGCCTTCGGCTCGGGTCATGATCCTCGAGTCCCGGGATCGAGTCCCACATCGGGGGGTCCCTGCTCATCAGGGAGCCTGCTTCTCCCTCTGACCCTCCCCCCTCTCATGCTCTCTCTCTCTCTCTCTCTCATTCTCTCTCTCAAATAAATAAATAAATAAAATCTTAAAAAAAAAAACCTATAAACTAAAAACTTTGCCTACCTAAGATCACGAAGATTTTTTCCTATGTTTTACTCCAGGAGTTTTATAGTTTTAGCTTTTCTGTTCAGATCTATGATTAACTTTGAGTTAATTTTTTATAGGTATATAATCAGGTCAAGATTCGTTTTTTTTTCCAGGCATATGCAATGGTTACAGTAGCATTTGTTGAAAATAGTATCCTTTCCTCATTTATTTACCTTGGCACTTCTGTCTAAGCAACTGTCTATATATGTGTGTATATATATACACATATATATAAAATCAAATATGATAGTCAAATATATGTAAATATATATGTATATATGTTTTTACATATCTATTTCTGGATGTTTTTGTCACATTCTATTGATTTGTATGTTTCTCTTATGTAGTCATATTTTAAAACTGCCAAAAGCATGTAGCAACTCACTGGAGCTGAATCGCTCCCATGACATCATACACTAACGCCCGCAAGCACAGTCTGTATTAGCTGGCTCAGGCTTCTGGGAGATGACACTCTGGCTCCAGCTTACCGTTCTGAGCTCCTCTCCCTCAGAGAGCACAAAGAGATCATAAAAGTAATTTCAAAAATTAGTTAGGAGGAGGAGGAGATATGTGGGGGGGAAAGCGATGTGATCTCTTTTTGCCAGAGTTCTGGTCATTCAAGTTAAACTTCGTTTCAAGAGACAGAGAGATGAAGAGATGGGGTAGGTTGCAGAGCCATGTCTCCAGCCTAAAAGAAAAAGTCACAACCCTTATAAATAAGGTGGGAAACAATCCCACTTTTTAATATTGAAACATGCCAATGGATGTTAGATCAAAACATTATCCCCTTTATGAGTCTGTCACAGCGCCTGCTTAAAGGTAGTGTAAACTTTCCCTCTCAAGAGAATATTTTACTTCATGACTTTTTTTTTTTTTTTTTTGCAAAATACCTTTTTAATTGTTTCCTGTTTGTCAGGAACAAAGTTTTTGGATAAGAAGTCATAGCAGGGCTTTTCTGTTTCTCAAAAGCAACTTTGTTGTCAGTAAACTTTCTGATTTACTAGAAATTTGAACTGGTTTACAAAGTCAACAGCTCAGGTCTCTAAAAATTATTGAGATTTAATATTAATACATTTAGTTGATTGCTTTAGGGTCTGTTTGCAGAAAGAGTGATCCTCAATGAAAACAGGTGAACAATTTGAAAAAGTATAAAATGTTTAGCAACTGTGCATACCAAAGAGGTTATTTGGCATTTTGCCAAATTAGACAATATATTTGGCTTTTTCTACCACAGAAATTCTCCTACCTGCATTTCTTTAGGTGGAGGGGTGGATGGGTAGAGGGAGAGGAAGAGAGAGAATCTTAAGTAGGCTCCACACCCAGAGCAGAGCCTGGGCCAGGCTCGATCTCACGGCCCTGAGATCATGACATGAGCCGAATTCAAGAGTCAGAATCTTGACTGACTGAGCCACCCAGGCGCCCCTCTCCTGCCTGTATTTCTACATCACTCAACATGGCAAGGCTAACAGAAAATCAAAGTCAAATGAGGAAACTTGGCAAATGCTTATCTGGCCTCACTGTTTAACCACCAACTGGCAAATACCATAAGAAAAACTGTACAGGAGATAAATGATAGGGTAAAAGTACATTTTTGACCCTGGGTCCAGGCTCTCATAAAAGCAGTAGGCTAAGATTTATAGGAAATGATTTGGGAATGATTTCAAAGTGCTGAATAATCACAAAAATTGTTTTTCCATTTAACAGAAATAATTCGCTTGCTTGAAAATTTTTGGTGGTAGCTTTTTTTTTCCCTCCTGCATCTGTACTCTATTTAATAATTTTACCCCACAATCCCACCTGTTGTTATTCTAGGAAAGACCAAGTACCTAAAAAACCTTTATCAGATGTGTAGATCACAGCAAACTGTGGGCATTTAACAAATACATAACACTGATGGAATAAAGGAAGGTTCAAATGAGCTAGAACACATAAATTAGACTGGTTATTTTTTGGATGACTTTTTACTGATGAGAAAAACTCCCTCAATCAAAAGCTAGTATTTATATTAACTGCTTCAATTCCTTTCTTTTAAGTTCTTAATTTGTTTATTAATATAACACAGAACTAATCAGAAAATATATGATAACCTATTTTTTAATATCTAATTTTTCTAATTTTTAAAAAAGATTTTATTTATTTATTTGAGAGAGAGACACACACACAGAGAGCACGAGCAGGGGAGGGGCAGAGGGAGAAGGAGAAGCAGACTCCCAGAGGAGGAGCCCAACATGGGGCTCCATCCCAGGACCCTGGGATCATGACCTGAGCCAAAGGCAGACGCTTAACCAACTGAGCCACCCAGGCGACCAGATAATCTATTTTTTAAAAACCAA